AATGTTATTTGTGGCTTCAGGGCCAAGGCCTCCGGGGGCCCGTGGCTTCCACTCTCAGCCTCTAGGATGTGACAGCCACGGAAAGAACCCCAGAGGTACCCTGCTGGAGAACATGGCCCATGCCAGCCACAGACCTGTGGGGGAGGTCTTCTCAGACATCTTCACTAACATCAGACTCCCTCTGGGGAAACCCCCATGGGAGAGCCAGCCATAGACCCATGTAGCTGAGTCCTAACCACACTTCTGACCTGCAGAAATCAAGCAAATGAAAGGGTGCTGTGTGAAGGCATTACACCTGGGGAAGTTTGTTATGCAGCAGTATGTGTCCGACACGTTCTAACAGCAGTACCAGCCTTCACCCCTGGAACTGGGCATAGCATTCCTGTTTTTCATGACTTACTTTTCCGGGGCTACTTTTAAGTTACTGCTAAAGTTACTAAAAATATTACCCATAGGCATATATGTGCCACAAAACAATAGAAAACACAACCTCGTGCCCAGCCAGCAAGACAGCAATTCCTGGTGTCTCTGGAAGAAGCAGGAAGGTAAAGGATTCTTTATCCAGGAAAAATGGGCCAACTGGAGGGCACCAAAGGCTGGAGTCTGGGTACTCTGCCTGCAAGGGGCGCCTGGCAGATCGCTAACCCTCCTCTAGCTTGGGGTTCCCTGAAGGGTCTGCTCAGAGCTCTGAAGAGGAGCCTGAACCTGGCACGCCACAGCAGGAGCTCCAAGTCACACAACCACCAGGCAGTCCTGCCGCAGGGTCCCTTCCTGCCTCGGATACTCAGCAAACAGGCAGAGGTGAGCCGTGTGAGGCCAGGAGCCAAGCCAGCATCCTATTTTTACTCCCAGGCTTGGCTAGGAGGCAGGGAGCCCAGAGCAATCCCCCATCCAACTGTGTTTCCTGCCCTCTCCCATGTAGCCAACTCGGTCACCTTTGCCACATCCGAGTATCCCAAGGGCCCCAAGCACCACTTCCACACCGAGCTCATAACCACCTCGGAACTTTGGACTCTCTAGCCCGCGACTCTTGCTTGCTCTTCCCACTGACAAGTTCAGTCATTCTTTCACACTGCAGCAGGTCTAGCCCAAGCTGGACTCTCAGGCCTGTATGTCAGCACACACACCCTTGCCTGGCACACCCTCCCTCTCTGTGCTCTTCCTCACACCTGTCCTTTCAATGAGCTCCCCCTCCTTCTCGCCACCTCCCTGACTCCACTACCACCAACACCCACCTGCACCCACATCTGTCCACCAGCCTCCCCACCCCACAGCCTCCTTCCTGACACCATCACCTCCCCGCCACAGCCAGCACAGCTCAGCTGTCAGCTGCCACTGTAACCAGGTCATCTGTCTTGTTTCCATATCAGACACTGACCAGTCACTGAGACTGGACTCATAAGTGGCATCACCCTTCCCCTAGGCTCCCAGCCAGCCAACCAGGAGTCAGCAAAGAGTCCCAGGGCTTCTGTGGGCTGCCCCAGCATCACAGGCACATTGGATGGCATTCTCCTCCTTACTGCCAGCAGACACTCCGGTGTGTGCCAGGGGAGGAGGACGGACACTCTGGTGTGTGCCAGGGGAGGAGGACGCAACTCTGTGTGTGCCCGCGAGGCGCTGCTCTAGGGAAGATTCTTATGTGATGGATGCTTCCACAAGAGGAGAGGCGGCCCCGTGCATCCTCACCTCCACAGGTCTCAGCCTGACTACTCCCTTCCCTGAGCAATTGAGTGCAAAGCCTCAGCCTGGCCTTGCTGGCTGGGGTGGGGACAGACACACGCACAGTCCTCTAATGAGACCATGTCACCCACACAATCCTGCCCATCTTGTGTTACCTCCTGGGGCCCTCTGTACAGTCTTTACCTGCTCAGCCCCTCACTGGTCATTCTCACTGCTGGCTGGGAAACCATGACCCCTATCTAACTGCAGTTCACATAGTGTCTCCTGGCGCTGCTAGGACCTCTAGCAAAACCTCCCCACCCAGGGGGCAAGTCTCCTACTGGCTGCTTTCTCCAGAGTCCTCACTATCTGCAACCTGGGAAGATATTCATAGACAATCCCAAGACCAATGCATTCACCTTGAGAAGGCTCCAATCTCCTTGCTAATCTAAGCTCCCACTGCCTGAAGGCTAGCTCTCAGCCAGGAGAGTTCACACTCAAATGTTAATGACTAACAGGAACTTGCAGAATTCCCTTTTTTTGACAAAGAAACTGGCCTGCTAAACACCAAGAAAAGGTACTGCTGAGTGTCTGCTGCCTCCTAACCTCTAAACCCTGGTCATGACCAAGTCAGCATTCTCCAAAAAAGGAGGTTAGAGCCCTACCATGTCCTCATCAAACGGCTGCTGAGGGGCTGAGGAACTTTCTGGAAAATGCCCAGAAAGACTGTATTATGGAATGTTTATTCCAAGGCAGAGGCTCAAAATAATGAGATTTCTGGCGAGGCCAGGAGTTCAAGGGGTAAAAGGTGACCCAAGGAGGTGGCATGGCAAGGGTCAAGCTTACCGAGTTTCACACTCTGCACGCGGCCTCCGATGCAGCTGGAAGCCTCAAGCACAGTGACATCTGTGAAGCCCTGCTCCAGAAGCGCTTTGGTAGCAGCCAGGCCAGCCAAGCCAGCACCAATCACCACCACACGAGGCTGTCCCCTTCTCCGCAGGCCACGACTGAGAGGGTCATCCGCACTTTCGCCACTGGATTCACAACTTTGCATACCGTCCGCACTCACCTCCTAGGAACCTGCAGGAGGGGGGTGTCAGGACTCACCTGCTCCACGGTGCCCAGGGACTCGAGTCAGGCACTGGGCCGGGGTGGGGGGAGGGCAGGGAAACCTCCCACTTCCTCCCTGAGGACCTGACCTAAGAGCTACCTCTCAAGCATGCAGAGGAGGAAAGAAGCAAGGGAAAGAGGGAGAGTGGGGGTCAAAAGAATCAAAAATAGGAATATATCTAGGGTCCCGCACCAGCAGGTAGGAGATGCGGTCCATCCCAAGCCCCTTCCATCCATCAATCCCACCCCGAAATCTGTCAGGCATCACCTCTTCCCTGCCCACAGGACCCAAGATCTGGCCGGTCAAGAGATGACCAAGAAAGCCAAAGTCAGGAGACACTGACCCTGACGTGCTGAGCCTGGGCCAGCGGAGCCCAGCATAGCACTGTGGTTCAGGATGAGCCAACCTCACAGTGCTCACACACCAGAGGACACCTACATGAACCCCAAAGTCCTTGCACCAGCTGCAGAGTGCCCACACCAACCGCAGGATACTTGCACACACTGGCCTCTGCGCTGCTTTCCTTCCCTGCCTGCCTGTCTCTGTCTCTGTCTTTCTGCTCTGCCTGTCTGTCTGTCTGTCTCTCCCTCCCTCTTCCTTGCCCCTTCTCTTCTCCTCTGGCTTTATCTTGATCTTTCACAGCCTCAATGAGGCAGCAATTTGATGGGAAGGACTAAGTCCCACCCTCCTCCCAGAAAGTGCCACGAGGCTGCTATCTATCAAGCCTCTGCTATTCTGGGTAGGTTGTTTTCCCCAGTCACCCAGCCCCTCAGTCACCACAAAGCAGTGAGGATCCCAGGAAACAGTGGACTATGAGGACCCGTGGCACCAGAGCCAGACATCAAATTGACAGTTACACTAAGCCAACTTGCTCAGAGACGCCAAATGAGGGGGGCTAATGCCAAGAGGCCAAGGTGGTGCCTGAGTTCAGCCCCAGGGCTAGAAGACACTGCCTTTTTATTCCAGGAATGATTAAGAGGTGTCTGGGGACATCCTGGGCAGCCTCTCAGCTCTAATCCCTTCTCTGTTCTCTCTTCAATCTAAGCAATTTGGATTTCAAGTGCTTCTGCTGAGCTTTGAGTAGCAGAAGCTGCAGCTCAAAGTATCCAAGATCTAGCAGGAGAACAAATGCAAGTGGAGGGAAGTCGTCAGGCAGCAACCTTGGGGCAAAGAAAAACCTGTCACCCACGTCTAAGAGCTGAGCATGATCTTTCCTAGCATACATCAATCCACTACTAAGAGTACACTCAAGGGCATGGTGGTGCAATCTGTATCCCAGTACTTTGGAAGGCTGAAGCAGGAGGATCATAAGTTTGAACCTAGCCTAGGCAACTTAGTGAGTTATCAGGACCTTGGTTCAAAAAATTAAAAGGAGCTGAGGCTCAGTCCCCAGTACCAAAAAGAAAAGTATGTCCCAAAACCCAACCAAACAGACATGTTAAAGAATATCCACAGCAGATTATTCGTAATAATCAAAATGCAGAAACAGTCCAAAGGGCCATCAACAGCAAGATAGATAAAATACAATGTGTTATACGTAGTATCTTCCTATGATGGGATATTCTTGAGCAATAAACAGATCTCAATGACTCCTAACGACACAGATAGACCTTTAGATATGACACTGAGCAAAAGAAATCAGACACAAAAGAGCACTGTATCTCCACAAAGTTCAGTAAGAGGTAAACGGAAGCTGTGAAGACGGAGGTCAGAAGAGAGGCATGGGAGCGCTGACGAGACTCAGAGGGTCAGGAGAAAATGAGTTGCACAGGTGGAAATTGCTATTTTGGTCTCAGGGATGGTTACAGAATATAGATGGAAAGATTCATAGATCTGTACTTTTAAGACCTGTGCGGCCCACTGTATGCATGTATGTCTACCTCAATACAAAATACTTGCTCCTGCGTCTTAATTCAATCATCGATGGGTCACAGGCTGGCACACGGACTTCCTTTTACATCCCGAGATCCGACTACTAAGGTTTCCGTTCTACCTGTAACAGCGTGCTCTAACGACGACTGATCACAGGTTTAGTAAACAGGGAATTTTTCCAAGACACGTTCAGGCCAGCAGGCTGCTCCTGGCATCTCCCACCTACCCCCTGCACCTCCCCCCTGCAACTCCTGGGCCTGGACAGAAAGCCAATCACCTTCCAAACGCCCTGAGACCCGGGGCAGTGTGACTCTAGGCAGAACGTGATCCTCAGATGGCCAGAAGGTGGCGCCCGAGGCCCGGAAGCCCTTCCAGGCAGTCTCCACTCTCAGGAGCAGGGGCTGCCCGCCGCCTCTCCGAGAAAGCCAGTGCCCACGCTTTCCCAGGGGACGAGACCGCTGCGGTCCTCCCCCAAGCACGCCCGAGAGCATGCCAGGGTCGAGCGGGTCAGGGTAGGCGCAGTCCTCCCTCCCATTTTTTCTCCCTTCCCTCCCCCAGGTTCTCCTTCCTGCCGACTAAATTTAGAGGTGAGGATGTCAGCGATGATGCTGCCGGATGTCTGCCAGCCAGCGCGGACGGTGCGTCAGGTTTGTAAACACGCAGCATGCTGCTGTGCAGGGCCCCGTGCCAGCTGCCGTGACGCCACCGCTGCCAGGCACCCCGCGACGACGTGGCGCCGCTGGCGCCCCGCCCCCACGCCCCAGCTCCCCGGGACTCCCCCACCCCACCCTCTTACCCAACATCATTCATACTCCAGAGGCGTGGGTGGCTACAGTGTGCACAGCCTTACTGAAGGGACCGCGTCTAACAAAGCTGCTGTGGAGTCCAGGACGTAACAGGCATTAAAGTGGGGGTGAAAACCAGGGGACTCTATAAGCCTGGACAGGGGAAGGAAGGCTTGCTGCCTGCTACCTGACCTCCCCATGGCCTCCAGGGGTGTGGCCATCAAGGCCAGATTGTCCTGGCTACACTTGTAGCAGGCAAGTAGGGAGGCCCGTGTAGCTATCACAAGATTCTCAGCACTTTTTCAAGGAGCTCACCTAAGAAACTAATGTGTCAAGTCCTCTAGGCACCCACGACGCTGCTGCTGTACCAGGGGGTGATGGAATGGACTGGACCACGGGAAATGTGGACAGGCATTCCTCTTGAGATGACTGCAGATGGCACCCCCTGCTCCCACAACCCCAGGTCTGAGACCTTGAACCCACAGAGACCCCACATGCAGTAGCAGGTGGAAGTGGGCTGCATGGCCAGCCTCTCCATCCTGACCACAGGCCTGTTCCAAAACAGCTCTGTCATGGCCCACCACCCCGAGAAGCCTGAGGAGACCTCCACACAGCCCGCAGAGGGAAGAGATGAGCCTGTCCCATGGCCCCCATCCGATCCCTGGATCAACACCCCCTGGGGTCCAATGATAGCCCTAGAGGACACATGCAGGGGTACCCACTGTGAGCCTCGGGTCAAGCAGACCTTTGTGTGCCCTACTCTGTCCAGCAGCGGAGGGGGCAGAGCAGCGTGTTTCCTGTTGGTATTATCTTTCCTCATTTTTTTTTTAATTTATGAGAAACTGCTTTATTGAGAAGAAAGAATGATTTAAACGGTCCTGTGGTGCCTGCCGGTCCTTTTCTCGCCTGGGGGAAAGAAATAAATAAATAACATCCGCTCTGTGATCTGTATGCACAGGAGAAACAGAACACCCTGTACTTTCCCCCCAGATAAAGGAGAAAAGAAAAAAGTGCTGGCTCAGCCAGGCAGGGAAGGACAGAGGGAGGGAGGGACAGGGCCACAGGCACTTGTCTTCTTGCTCCCACTTGGTGGCAGGAGATGAGAGTCTGCAGCCTTCTATCCAGCACCTGAGGCAGAGATCCACGCTGCAGAGATTGCCTGCAACAGAGATCGGCACAGAGGCCAAGGCCCCGGGATTCAAGAAGTTAGGCCGGCCAGGGCCCAAGTGACCCCCATGGCCTTCCCTCCGTCCCCTGGACAGTGCCACCCTGACTCGGCTGCCTGAGAAGCCAAACTGGAAGGAAAGCAGGCTGGAGGCATGGTCCGGTCCTCATGGTCTGACCAGGGTAATTCACTGATTTGCAAGCACCTACTGTGTGCCAGGTGTGGAGAAAGCCTCAGCAGGTCAGCGATTTGCTCTGGATCCAGCTGCTTTCTGGTTTCAGCCCTCACTCTAGAGGCCATTCCCTTGCCAACACATAAACACCGACCTCTGACTCCACCGAAGTCTTAGGCCTCCCGAGCCCAGCCAGCCTGAGGCCCTAGCACATATCAGATGGGCCACCTCTAGGCACACCCCTTGGTGGGTACTGTAGCTGTGATTGTAGGATTGTGTTGCTCAGGCCAGGTCAGCTCCCCTGTTTCCCCAGGTAGCAATCACCCTGAACTATGAGTCCCTTCCAGTGACCCTAAATGTCAACACCCCTAGCTGGCCCCAGGGCACGGACATTTCACCCAAGAACTCCTGCTACCCAGTCTCTGGAGTAAGGCTAGGCTCCAGGTTGGATTGGGGACCCCTTCCCCAAAGTAAGTCACGGGCAGGAGGCTTGAAGGCCTAGCTGGGTGTGGGCGCCCCTTCCTTGACAGTGGAACATCTCGGCCTGGAGCAATCAGAGCTCCCTGACAGTGGCTACTGCAACGAAACAGTGCCACAGGGGCATAACTTCCTGGGTGCCCACCCCTCCAAAGATGCCCCTCCAGGATACAAAAAGTCCCTACCCACCCTGGACCTCTGCCTGCACCCCATCCTTTTCTCAGTGCCACCTCCAGGTAAACTTCCTGGTCTACTTACGGGAAAGTGAGCCCCTTCAGCCTTCAACCCACCCACTCACCCTACCAGGGCTCAGGATCCCGGGTGTGCCTGTTGAAACACTCCAAAATGGGCCTCCCCCTTCTAACCAGCCCACTCTAGGCTCTGCTAAGACCCTCGGCCACTCAGGGGAGACCTTGGGGACATTACACCTCCCAGTCCAACAGATAGGACCAGTGCCCCTGAGGACAGCAGCTGCCCTAACTCCTAAGAAAAACTCTCTCCCCCTCAGGCTTCTAACAAGAGGGACCCAGGGAAGTTGGCGGGGGCTGGCCCAGGGGACCATCTCTGGACAGCCTGGCAAGCCTCTGGAGGGATTTGGATTCTTGAGGCCCCCCAGACAATGCAATTATTCTTCCAACATAAAAAAAAAAAAAAAATGCCCAGAAATCCCGGGCCAGCTGCTTTGCACAGTGGCACAGACAAAGGGGCTCTGTGTCTGCTGCAGGCTCCTCCCACCCCTCTGCCGAGGGAGGGGCCACCCAGACTCCTCCCAGACAGACCCTTCCCAGCCTGCTCAACCAGGCCCTGAGGAAATGAAAGGGCCAGCCCTGGAGGGGGGAGCAGGTACTGCCTGGGGACAGAGCAAGGGCAGCCTGGGAGGCCAAGAGACAGGAGGAAAAACAGAAGGGAGCCCAAGACCCCGGTTCAGGCACCAGCCAGTCTCCCTTGCTTGCCCAGTGACCGCTAGAGTGTCTGCCCTTCCCTGCACCCTACTTGGCCAACACCTCTGAACTCAACCCCCATTCTCAGCATCTGTCCCCTGCCTCCTAGACTCACCTGTCTTAGCCTCCTCTGACCCTTGAAGCCTGCTTCAGTCTTCAAGCTTTCCCATCTGTAAAATGGGGTGGGTCAGGTTCCCCAGCAGGACTCCTTTGAGGATTAAATGAGACCTCAGGGGTCAAAACTGTGGTCACCTGCCGTGGCCACCTCAGAGAGACAGGAAGGGGGAGGAAGATACCTCAAAAGGCTCTAGAGTCACCAGAGCTCTGTTTCATGAGGGGAGAACCTCAGTCTTGATCTGAGCTCAGAGCCCAGCCTCAGCCTTAGCCCTAACCCTAATATCAGACTGCACCTTGACTGTGACATCAGATACCCACAGGCTGAGTGTGACTGACTCCCAACCTGATGTGGCCTCAGTCCTAACTTCCTCAACCTGACTCAGCCTCGCCATCCCACCCAACACCGAGAACCAGAGAAGAGGACCTCAGCCCACTCCGGGTTTATGAAGCTGAAACTGCTCGAGCTCCGCACCCTACAAACCGTCTGTGGGAAGGGCCCCTCTTCCTGCCTGGCACCCTGACTTCTCTCCATGCACAATGTCCTCGCTAGCCACATCTCTTCCCTAAACAGTGTAAAGTCCCTAAAAGCACAACTTTAAAAGGCTTTGTAAGCCAAATTCAGAAGCAAAGAAGGAAGCCAGGCCAACCCTTGACTGGGTTCATGGCAAGTGGCAGGAGCAAGAGGGGTGCGGGGAGAGGCAAACCCCACTGCTGTTTCCCTCGGGGCCCTGCCAGGCATACTAGATCTACAGAGAGCACAGGTTAGTTATTCCAGACTGCTCACATCTGGGAGAAACAAGGCAATTTTACAGCTCCTGCAGGGAGAGGCCCAGGGGACAAACAACTAGAAGCCCAGCTGCAGGTGAAGGAGGGAAAGAAAGTTCAGAACAAGCCAGAGTAAAGACAGGGTCTTCCACGGGCATAAAAAGCTACTCCAATGACCTCGATGACCTCGATGACCATCACTGAGGCTACGATTCCTCCTCCTACAAGTTCACTCCAAAGCCTGCCCTATAGCTGCCCTTTCAACAAAATTAGTGAGTGGATCATACTCAAACAATATGTTAGCTCAGAGCTGATCCAGTGCTCACCAGCAACTCCCGTAAACCTTTCCGACTCGGAGGCAGCCCACGGCTCAGCTGCACCCACAGCTCAGCTGCACCCCAGCCTGCTTCCCTACCTGTGTGTGTCTGTGTCACAGGCCCTGGCCAGCGAGGTGGATTATAAGCAGGACCCACCTGTTCTCTCAGATCCCCTATCCCAGAGGTAGGCAAGCCTAGGCCTCTCTGCTGCCAGGGGTCTGACGGGATGACCACACTACTCCTGAGTAGTCTCAGAGAACACAAAATTGTCCAGACAGCAGCCTTGGCCACTAACCAGTGTGGCCTCGGGAAAAATCCATTAGCAATGGTGCCTTACTTTTCTATCTGTAAAATGGGGATGGTCACCACCAGTCTAAGAAAGGACCAGCCTGACCCCAGCTGCCTGTGTCCCCAGAAAAATCTATTGCAAATTCTTCTGGCAGCTCTCCAGATACCCTAAAACCTGGATTGCCCCTCTGGCCTGAATTCCCCCTCCAGGAAATGAGCAATCAAAAAGATAAAATAGACCACAAAGTTGATCACTGCCCTCATGAACTACATTGATACACGACTGCCACCCAAGCAGCAGGTAGGGGAGGGCCAGTAGGAGATGCCCACAGCTGCTCGTTCCCCTAGAAAGGTCTTCTGACAGAAAGAAAACTCAAGATAGGAAAAACCAGCCTCGAGGCCAGAGTACCAACTCTTTTCTGAGGTGCCCAAATCACCACGGGCCACAGAAGACCCCAGTGATATCTATCTCTCTTGCACACATGCCATCACAAAAGCACACTTCTGTAGGTTTCACTTGATGACCCAACTGAATAAACAGCCCCTTCCTTTGAGTACATCTATAACACTATGATTTTCATGCAGGTTCCAGGGCTAGATCACTAGCTTCTCAATACCAATGGTTTGAATCTATGCCACTCTCAGAGAGACCTGAGCCTCAGTTTCCTCATCACTAAAACGGGTTGAGTGCAACAGTGCAGACCAAATCCTCAGCTGAGAGGTGTGCAGGAATAATGGTTCCTTATATTTTCCTACAGGTCCCAGCCTGCATACTGGTGGGAGTTACCACATCGAAGCCTGAACCAGGTGAGCAGATGTGGGTGGGCCGAGGGCAATTCCAGCTAGTAGAGAGCTCACAGACTCTCCTGCATGATGACTGTTGAGCAGTACTTTGAGGCCTCAGAGCCACCTCATCCCACAGAGACACTGCTATGGACTATGGTCAAGGGAGAGACAGGATTGTGAGAGAAGAGTCAGCCCACCTGCTGCGAGCCCCTCGGGTCCACCAAGCAAAGGCTGTAAACTTACAGGTGCAGCAGTGAAACCATCTGTGTGGTCACCAGCTTCCAAAACAACCTCTGGGACACCTGGCTGCTAGTATTCATGCCCTAGTGTGTTCCCAAGTTCACCTTTGTAGCTGGCAGGATATTACAGAAGTGATAGACTGTAGCTTCCAAGACTACGTCATCATCAAAAACAGTGAGCTTCCACTTTGCTCCCTTGCAGCCCTTACTAGGGGCGATGCCAGTCACCATAGCATGAGGACACTCAAGCAGCCCCTTGGTAAGGAGCGGAGCCCTCCACCGATAGCCAAACCATCTGCCAAGCAGGAGTGAATCATCCAAGAAGCAGACCCTTCGGCCCCAGCCTTCAGATGACACAGCCCTGGATAGCATGGTGACTGTAGCCTGAGGGGACACCCTGAGCAACAACCACCCAGTCACCTGCCCCCAAATTCCTGACACATAGAAGCAGTGAGGACAATAAATGCTTATCGCTGTTTTAAGCTACTAGTTTGGGAGTAATTTGTTACCCAGCCATAGGTAAGGAATAGCAGTTCTCTCTACACCGTCCAGGTGGAAGTCCCCAGGTGATCTCCTCTCACTAGGTCTCAGCATCTTCTTTTCAGAAAGG